CCATCGGCGGGGGAGTGAGCTGACGAGAGGGACCAGACAGCTGTGTGACATGGAGGCGAAACCTCAGTCTCTACAGCAAAGGCCTCTTGCCCAGTGTTCAGAGGTCGCGGTGGTTCTGCGACCCGGTGTGGGCAGGGAGGGTAACCGTGGCTGGCACCGTCTGCAGAGTGGCCGTGCAATAAAGGAAGTAAACGAGTGACGAAGTCCAGTGGGAGGGGGTGGGGGCGCTCCAAGCCCGTCGGCGGAAAGAGTCCGAATTTTAGCCTAAGTGTAGTTGGAAGCCATCGAGCGTCTTTAAGCAGGGGGTTTGCGATTTGATTCACACTTTCAGACACTCAGGAACTGCATAACGAGAGGCAGGAGTGCAAATGGAGGTGCGAAATCAGAGGAAGGAGCCATGACGGTGGGTTGTGTGTGCCCCTCGGCGGGCGCTAGAGCAAGTTACTTCATCCCCAACCTTGGAGCTTGTGTGAGAGCGCTCTGGAGATGCAGCCAACCCCTGCGATAGGCTGACGTCAGGCAAAGGCTGTTACCCTCCGCACACGGCCGGGCTCATCCGACCAGCTACAGGCTTGAGGGAACAAAGCTGACCTCCCAGCAAAATTCCGCCTCAAGATCGGAGCAGCAGCTCCGTCCCAGTGTCCAGCCTGCCCTGCCGGCTGCAGGCCTGCTGACTACCACAGTCATGTCCATTCTAAAGGGCACACAGCCTACAGGGAAGACGCCAGGACTCAGACACCGGCCCGGTGCAGTGAGGTCGCTGCCCACACAGGGACTGGTGAAGCACAGCACGGGCCATGGTGCGGGCGCTCAGCGCTGTGGGGGCTCGCTCTGGGCCAGGCACCCTTGTCTCCGCGTGGACACACTCCCCAGTCATTGCACCGTAGGCCCCTGCCCCAGGCGGGCACTAACTTTAGCTCCTTTTGGAGATGAAGAAGCCAAGGAGAGGCAGTGACAAATGTCACAGGCCTCCTCATCCATCAGAGCAGAGGGCCGGACCCAGTGGCCTCCTACACAGCCTGTGCGGCACGTCTGGGCCAGCAGGCAGAGGGCCGAGGCTCAGGCTCCAGACAGACAGAAGTACGATGGGTCAGAAAAGAAAAGAAAATACCAGAAAGAAATACAGCAAATTCGAACACAGAGGCTTCTGGGAGTAGCACCGGGCGTGTGCCCGTGCTCTTCTGGGCCCTTCGCTTTCCTATGAGGATGGATTTCTTTTACCACCACACTAACGTGGCAAGGACCAGGACATGGTGTGGTGGTCGAGGCAGCTGGCTCCCGCATGGCCACTGAGTGGTTCAAGTCCCAGGCCTGGTGGCCTGGGACGCGTGCTTGTGTGCCCGCAAAGTGCCGAAAGGAGAAATGGGGAAGAGACCACAGTGTGGTCATTTGCTACGGAGGGGCAAGCTCTGGTGAGAGCTTGGACCCTCTAGCAAAAAGGAAAATAATGATAATTCAATCTGAAACTTCAAGTTTTCATTAAATAGTCAATTCTAAAGACCAAAACTGGTTCTCCGCAGTCCTGCTTCCCCCGTGCAACCGTCACATTCAGCGAAATCTCTCCTCAGCTTGCTGGACTTCTGCTGCGCTCAGAAACGTCCCCTCCGCCTGCCTTTGCTTAGTTAAGCACTGTTCTGTTTTTGCTGTGTCCTGAACAGTTCAGAGTCCAGAGTAAACTGCAAGGGCTTTGCGACCTTTGTCCATGCAAGCCTAGCACGAATTCCCAAGTACATAGTTTCTACAGCAAACAAAAGTACCATGCTAGCCTCAGGGCGGCTGCTTATGGGAAGATCTTGAATTGAACGATGGTGGGAGCACACAGACTCCTGCTTCTGTGTTTCATTCCCCTCTCATTTCCTCTCCCTTCCTCCACCTCCTCTTCCTGCTTTGCCCAGCCCACTCACACTCAGCTCCAATGACATCACCTCTGTGAACCCTTCCGTCCTCCAGGGATAGAAATCCAATTCGAAAGAGCTTAAGAGTGAAGGCTGAGAAGGTGAGGATGGGTTTATCCGCTCCCGAGACCAGAGGCCCAGGACACAGACCTGGCCGTGGCACTGCCGAGCCCAGGACTGGAAGTGACGTCCCTTGAACACGAGCCGTCCCTGTCCCGCCACTCTCGGCTCAGTCTTACACGGGCAGACCAGCGGGAAGGGGGCCTGGGCAGCTGGAGTCCCGCTCTCCCCACTTAGGAAATGAGGCAGGGCAACTTCTTGGGGCTTCCCCAGGATCTGCATGTGAATTCAGGGCAGGGCTCTACCTGGCCCAGCTTGGGTCCTGTTCCGGTGACTGCTGCAGGCATAGGGAGATAAAGTCCCCCGGGAGGGACAGGAGTCCTGCAAAGAAATCAGAATGCCAAGAAAGAGGAAAACCACACCTGACAGAATTTTAGGGAGAAAACTCCCACTTCCGCCTTCCTATACCTGTCTACAGAGTCACCTGGCAGCTCCTCCCATCCAGAGAGAAAATCTATGACTCCCTGAATGGAGGCTGGTCTTACGGCTTGCTCTGCCCATTGGGGTGCCCCAGAAGTGAAGGTGTGAGGGTGGAGCCTTGGCCTCGAGGCCTTTGAGCACATCTGCTCACTCCCCTCCCTGCCCTGGCCCTGTGAACCTGCCCAGGCCAGCCTGCTGGAGGAATGAGACAGCAGGGTCAGCGGGCCTGGTGGTCTGAGCCAACGCCCCGACAGGCGATCCAAGATCAGCCAAGCCACCCACAGTCCACAGCTGACCCCAGAGAGACCTGAATACACCCGGCCGAGAGCCTCAGGTACAGCACCCAGCCGCCCAGGCTCAGAGCAGAAGCCAGTGCTCACAGGCCTGTGGCTGTGCTGTAGCCACCATTGTACCCCAGAAAGGATACATTTGTATCTACTACACCTGCTGCCCTTGCTCTGCCCCTCAGAGCACTTGGGTACCTATCTCACACACATTGTTGCAAGTTGTATTGCTATTTGTTTAAAATACTCCTTGAAGGGAAGAATCAGTGTTGGGGGTGGGGGCAGAGGGGGGAATGTTAAATCTTTGAGAACCCAGAGCTTCTCAGAAGAAACATAGGGATTCTGAAAGATTCTACCCAAAATATCTGTGAAATAGTGTTTAAACTTTAGACATTTTGTGTCTCACCACCTGGAGTTGAGTTTCGTGTTTTGGTAAGTGGGGGTATTGTTTAATGAGCTCTAGCTCCCCTCCCCTGACCTGGGCCCCAGCTCACAGCAGGAGTCTGTAAGAGCGTGGTCCAGCCCGTGTCTGGCATCTGTTCCGTGGAACATGACTTCTTGCTGATCCTGGCACTGATGTGTCACTGCCTTTCTGGTTCCTGTCACTTCATAACGAGTTTTACATTCGCAGGACGAGCCACTCCACCTTGTCCTTTCTTCCACGCTGTTTGGCTATTTCTGTCTCTTTAGTTTTCCATGTACATTTGCAGTCGTCCATCAAGTTAGACGCACACTTCACATGCACTGTCGGAATTTGCTTCGAAGTCACATTCATAGCTTATGCAGGGGGAAATTTACATCTTTAAAAATGGGGTCTTTTGAGGAAAAAGAAGAAGCAAAACATTTAAGGGGCACAAAATGGAAAATGATCTGTTGATGATAGTGTCCAGGGGAATATCTTTGACTGGATACGTATACGTGCACTCATGCTGGGAAAGCTCCTGCCGTAGGCTGCAAAGATTTACAGTGACTGAGTGTAAAAGGAAAATAAGAAAATAAGAGAAAGGAAAAATGGAGTCTCTCCGCATGAGCCTGAATAATGCACCATTTGTTAGTCATCCTCCTTCAAAATGTGTCCAGGCCCCAGTGCAGCTCTGCTCCCTCCACTGTCACCTGCCTGGTCAGAGGCGCGGTCTCCTTCCCCTGGATAAGGTTCGATTCCCTACCCCACCAATGCTGCAGGCTTCCCACTGAGCTGTTGCCGGTTATGCCAAACACTTCTGCCTCCCCGCCCATAAGCTCTGGGAAGCGAAGAACTATTAGCAGCCTGGACAAATGGCTTCCCTCTGGCCGCACTGGGCCTCCGCACAGCCTCCTGTCCCTCCAGCCGGCAGCACGATTCCTGGGAGGACGTAAGCCTGGTAGGGGCCTCTCACCGCCCAGGGCACCCTGTGACACCCGTGGTGCCAAGCCCCCACTGGCTCAAATGATTGAAAATGAGTGAGTGGGTGAAAGGATGCCGACTCGGCAGAGCCCTGGGAATCAAGAAACGAGGAAGTACGGGCTAGTCCCAGCGGGGACCCAGATGGAAAAGTGGCGATCGCCAGGGCAGAGCCCCGCACCATGAGCGTGACCACCGGCTCCCAGAATGGAGCCAGGAGCCGCGCGAGGAGCCGGAAGCAAAGCGTGGCCCAGGGACCCTCCCTGGACCGGAGGAGGCCGAGCAGCTGCGAGGCTCGGGGCGGGCGGGCCCTCCAGCGCGGCCGCAGACCCGGCCCAGCCAGGCCTCGTGGCTCCCGGGCTAGGGCGCGCGCACGGGCGCGCTCTGAGGGCGCGCTCCAGGCGGCGGGGGGCCGCGCCGCGG